ACATCTTCTCCAACATTTATCATTTTCCTGTTTTGTCATGTTGGCCAACCTGATATGTGTGATGTGGTACTTCAGAGTTGTTTTGATTTGCATTTCTCTAATCAATAATGATTTAGAGCATTTTTTCATATGACTATAGATGGCTTTAATTTCTTCATCTGAGAAGTGTCTGTTCATATCCTTTGGTCATTTATCAGAGAGACTGGTTGTAAAAATTCTTCCCCAATGTTCTACCTTCCTTCTAATCTTAATTGCATTGGCTTTGTTTGTGCAAAAACTTTTCAATTTAATGTAATCAAAATGATCCATTTTGCTTTTCATAATGTTCTCTATCTCCTGTTTGGTCATGAATTCTTCTGTTCTCCATAGATCTGATAGGTAAACTATTCCTTGTTCTCCCAGTTTACTTATGGTATCAGCCTTTATATCTAAGTCGTGAACCCATTTTGACTTTATTTTGGTATATGGTGTAAGATTTTGGCCTATGCCTAGTTTCTGCCATACTCTTTTCCAGTTTTCCCAGCAGTTTTTTTCAAAGAGTGGGTTCTTATCCCAGAAGCTGGGGTCTTTGGGTTTATCAAATAATAGAATACTATAGTCATTGACTGCTGTGTCTTGCATATTTAACCTATTCCACTGATCCACTCTACTATTAAGTCTTAAGCAAAGCTAAGTGAGGGGCAGCTAGGTGGTGCAGTGGATAGAGCACCGGCCCTGTATTCAGGAGGACCTGAGTTCAAATCTGGCTGCAGACACATAATACTAGCATCATTTAACCCCATTGCCTAACCAAAAACAAAACAAAACCAAACCCAAAAAAACCTAAGTGGTCACTTTCTATCTTCCTCCTTCCACTATGGTTCCAAACCTTGAAATCAACCTTGACTATTCTTTCTCCCTTACTTCTTTATCCAATCAGTTGCATAATTTTGTCGTTTCTATCTCCACAGCTGCTCCCATCCATCCCCTTCTCTCTGGTCAAATGGGCACCACTCTAGTTCAAGACCTCCTCACCTCTTGCCAGGATCACTTTAATATCCTCCTAATTGATCTCCCTGATTCCAGTCTCTTCCTGCTTCAGCCTATCCTCCAAATGACTGCCAACATGGTTTTCCTAAGGCACAAGTTTGACCACGTCCCTTACTCCCTCATCCATATTTCCTTTGGTTCTCAAACTCCTCTGGCATTTCAAGTTCTTCACCACCTGGTTCCAGCTTAACTTTTGCAGGCTTATTCCATAGTTCCACAGTCTATACTGTAGTCTATGCACTCCTCAGTCCAGCCACACATACTGGTCTCACTTTTCCTCCCCAGTGACATTCCATCTCCAGTCCCTCTCTGGATTTGCACAGACTTTCCCTATGCCTGGGATGCACTCCATTCTCACTTCAGATTTTTAGAATCTCTACCCTCCTTTAAAGCTCAGTTCAAATGTTACCTGCTACATGCAGTCTTTCCTAGGTGTAACCAAGTGGCACAGTGGACAGAACACTGGGCCTGGAATCAGGAAGTTCTGAGTTCAAATTTGGCTTCATGCCTTAATAACTATAAACTTTGAGCAAGTCATTTAACTCTGTTTACCTCAATTTCTTCATCTGTAAAATGTGAGGGTCAAATAAGATATACATTACAAAGCACTTAGCACAGTGCCTGACACATAGTAAGCACTATGTTAGTTATTATTATTATTATTTCCTGATACCCCTCAGTGGCTAGGGTTTACCCCACCAATAAACTTCTATTTACTTTGACTATGTTAGGTGTGCATGTGGCTTCCTCCCATAAAAGTGCTTTTTTGTGTTCTAGTTCCCTAATGTTATCTGTGGACCCTTTCTCAGAATAATGTCTATAAATGCAAAAAAATAAAATATATAAGATTACAAACTAATTATAAATATACTTATCAAATATATATTTAAAAAACCAAAATGCATGTGCCCTAGGTTAAGAACCCCTAAAATATAAGTTTCTTCAATGCATGAACTGTTTATTTTTGTGTTTGTATCTCTAGCAACCTACCTCAGTGCCTGGCATGAAATAGGTGTTTAATAGAGGATTGTTGATTGAATAGTCAAGTCCAACCAGCCTAGAAAGTCTTCTGAATGGGGATTACAGGGGGAAGAAAGAAGACTGTGCACCCCTGTGAGTAGAGCTGCAGTTTCTGAGTGTTCACAAGTTCTGAGGCTGTACCCAGAGCGTGTCCATCTCTTTTCTTGCTGATCAGAGACCCTTAGGGATGCAACAGCTGGATGACGCTGTCCAGGGTTATTGACTAGAGGAGGCTAGTGCATTCTGAGATGAGGGACTGGTGGTCAGCAACGGAACTGATCACTTTGCCCTCCTAAACCACAGTTAAGTGCAGGTCCCATGGTCATAGGAAGGTCAAAGGCTCTGAAGCCCCAGGCGTGGCCTTGCCTCATGAAAGGAGACTAGAGGGCCGGCAGAGGGGCCCGGCCTCCAGCCAGCAGGCTACAAAGCCTCTCTATATACTACTTAGACTGAGCCTGTTTCTCTTCCCGGCCAAAGCAGAGCAAGTTTGGAATCGACCCAGCACTCCCCAGGCTCCTGTCCCTTCACTTATTCTCTGGGTTGCTCAATTCCTTTTAAGACACAAATTGATTGAGATAATTCTTGCTTTAACTACAATTGCCACAGAAGGAGAAAAACCACTCTGCACTCAGACTGTGGATTCCAGTGACAACTGTGAGCCACAGAGTCATAGGGAAATGGCCAGAAAATGGATTCGAAATTGAAGCCTCATATAATAATGTAATTACTGCCCGGGCTCTGAGTGCTGTTAGAATAGGGGCCTCCTGCTGCCCTGAGAACTCTGGGGGCGGTGCCTGGCTGCAGCAAGTGCAGAAGTTGCTGCTTAGAGTCTCCATCCTTGACTCCTTCTTCTGAGAGCACCATTATGTGCAGCAGAGGGTGCAGGGAGGGGAAGGGGAAAGGGAGAGAGGGGGGCAGAGGCGCAGGAGGAAAGAAAAAAGAGAAAGGTGGTGACTAATTTCTCGTTCTGGCAATGTGTCCCTGCCCCCACCTTTATACAGGATGAAACTAGGTAGGGTTGGTGCTGGCTGGGGCTTTGCCAGAATCATCCTCAGTTATCAGCACCAGTCCATCAATCAACTGATCAATCAGCAAACTTGTATTAGGCCCCTACTATGTGCTAGGCACTCTATGAGGTGCTGAGGATACAAAAACAAAAGATGAAAAACCTTTGCCTTCAGGCAGCTTCAACGGACACCCAGGATGACTAAGTGATTTGCCTATGTTCACACAACTAATACATTTCAGGGGTGGGATTCATACTCAGATTCTTACTGACTCAGAAGTCATCACATGATCCACTATGCCAAGCTATCCTTCCAAATAAATGCAATAGTATTAGGGAGTTTACTACTTTTCAAGCTACCCCATTTCACTTTGGGATGGCTCTAATTATTAGAATTTTTCTATAGGGGGAGACAGTATGTATATAGACATATATAAAATAAATACAAGGTAATTTTGTGGGGAAGGTGCTAGCAGCCTGGGCTAGTGCATTCCAGGATCTATGAATCTTGAGGTTAGGAGAAGCTAAACAAATACCTACTAGAACATAAATTCCTTGAGGCAGGGAACTTATCTTCTTTTCTGCCTTTCTCTCTCTGGGGCTTAGCATGATGATGCCTTGCATATAGTAGGGGCTTTGTCAAATGGTTTATCAGATGGAATTCAATTGGAGGCAGTGTGGTACCATGCCAAAGGTGATGGAGGTGGAGTCAGAGGTCCTGGATTTGAATCCTACCTCTTCTTGCCCCTTGTGCAAGCCTGGTCAAGTTACCCTCACCTATAAAATGAAGGGGTTGGACCCCACATGCCCCTTAGGATCCTTTCTACATCTAAGCTTACATTCCTATGGTCCTATAAATTGAATTGAATCTGGTTCAACCTGTATCTGAACAGAAATTCCCTGACAGCATCTCCCAAGAGGGAATATCCATCCCTTATTTGAAGACTTCCAGTGATTTATCAGGTTTTAAGTAACTGCCAAATGCCTTTGAAGCCACAGAGTGGCATAGTCAGACCTGTGTATCAATCAGTGGTCTGAAGGATGGATTGGACAGGAGAGAAACTGGAGGCAAGGAGTCAATTTAGGAGATTTCTGCAATAGTCCAGGTGAAAGGTGATGAGGCCATGCACTAGGACACCATTAGGGTTGGGGTTGTGGGAGGAGAAAGGAAAGAATAGATATGAGAGAGACTGTGAGCATAGAATGCACAAGACTTGTACGTAATCATAGCTGCCGTTTGTAAAGCATCGTGAAACATGAAAAACACATTATATAGATGATTTCATTTGAGCTTCCCACTTAGATGCAGCTAGGTGGCCTGGATAGCATGGGTTTGTGCTAGGGTGATTGAACACATTCAACATTGTATAAACATTTTATGGTCTGGACAATTAAAAGCTTCTGTCTGTTGTCAAATGATAGTTTAGGTGGCTAGATGGTGCAGTGGATAGAGCACTGGACCTGAAGTCGGAAAGATCTGAGTACAAATCCAACCTCAAACACTTACTTGATTTGTGAACCTGGGCAGCTCACTAAACTGGCCCTAATACTAAGGCTAAAGAGCCAAGCATGTTGACAGGATGCAGCAAGAGAGCCATATAAGAACTCATTGTAGCAGAGAAATTCTGCTTTGTCAAATCTGGTTACCTCCGTGGCTTTCCCTAGGCGCCTGTGTTCCCTGATGTTGTGGGTGTCCCTGGGAAAGGTTTGATCACTAGACGGTGCTGTGAGCCTCCTGAGATTTTTGGCACAGAAAACACAAAAGGACTAGAAAGTAATGATTCTACATCACATGTTTAGTGACAGCTGTATCACTGGTAACCTCTTCCAAACCCTTCCCTTTTCTCTCAGGGAAGTAGCACATACCTGTGCTGTGTGTCAGTAGCTATAGGACACTGTGGTCCTGCTGCAGTTCAATGTTCTGACTAACTCCTCTCCATTACAGCCTGTGACCAGCTGGCCCTAGGGGTCGTAGCCATTTTTGGACCTTCCCAGGGCTCCTGCACCAACGCAGTCCAGTCCATCTGCAATGCCCTGGAAGTGCCCCACATCCAGCTACGTTGGAAACACCATCCCTTGGATAACAAAGACACCTTCTACGTGAATCTCTACCCTGACTACGCATCCCTCAGCCATGCCATCCTTGACCTTGTCCAGTATCTTAAATGGCGGTCAGCAACTGTGGTATATGATGACAGCACAGGTAGGTGCCAGGGTAAAGGGATCCCAGGGAATGGCCCAAATCCCCCAGGCCTCACAACATGAATGGCTGGACACACACCGTGTAAGCCAACTCACCTTCACAAGAGGCCAACCCAAGGGCTTGGTCCATGGCTGCTTCCTCTCCTCTTAGGCAGAGGCCCCATAGGGTTGGCTCTCCCTCTCCCTAATCCATCCTCAGCCATACCACTCACAAGCCCTCCAATGCCAGACTTCTGGGAGAGATTGCTGTGAAAATCACCTTCCCCTCAGAAGTCACAAAAGTGACCTTTCCAACAGAAGGATGTTGCATTCAGATTGGCAGGGATGAGTGCTCCTGGCTCTGACTTTCAGTAGCTGTGTGACCCTGGACAAATGATTTAACTTCTCTGACTGTCCTTTTCCTCCCTTATTAAAGATAACAGTGCTAGAACAGTAGAGCTCACTGGGATTGGGGTGAAGAAACAGCTTTTTAATATGCTGTAGAAATATAAGTCATTCCCTCAATGTCATCTGTAGGCAATGTTTGCTTATTTCTTGTCTATCTATCTTTTAAGGCCCTGCATAAGTCATACCTCCTCTATGAAGCCTTCTCTGATTACCCCAGGTCCCTTTTCTGAGCTCCTCCTGCCTTCTAACTTGAATTCAAAGGTAGAGGATCTGGGTCCAAATCTTGGCTCTCTGATTTACTAGTTACATGGTCTTGCTGTCACTTAGGTCCCAGTGGGCCTGTCTGAGCCTCAGTTTCCTCCTCTATAAAGTGAGGGAGAGGAACTAGGTGACTTCAGAGGTCTCTGACTAGATGCCACTTACCTCTAGAGTCGGAAGGGGTCAGGTATCTCTTTACTCTTTGCCAGATGACAGCACTCATATTTATCCTTCATGACTCTTGCCCATACTCTCCCACAAATGTTAGGAAACCCACACCCTCATAATGTTGAGATAGCTAGAGGTCTTGGAAGAGGTGAGAAACCACAGGTATGGAACACTACAGTGTGTCCCAAAAGCCTTTTGTTATTGCTGTTCTTGAGTTGTTTCAGTCACATCTGACTCTTCACAACCCCAATTGGGGTTTTCTTGGTAGAGATACTTGACATTTCCTTCTCCAGCTTATTTTACAGATAAGGAACTGAGACAAACAGGTTAAGTGACTTACCCAGGGTCATACAACTAATAAGTATCTGAGGCTAGATTTGAATTCAGATTTTCCTGACTCCAGGCCCAGCCAGATGATCTGACTGCTGTGCCACCTTGCTTCCCCCCTCCAAAAACAAAAAAAAAAGTCTTAGAGTACTTTTTAGTTAAGACTAAAATAGCTTCAGTAGTTTGAAACTGAACTAAGACATTTGGGACACCTTATGTTATCCTGGGTTTGGTCGATATGTTGGTTGGTTTCACTGAATTTTTCCTCCTTTCTCTTTTAGGTTTTTAATTCTTATTTATAAGGGCTGGGTTTCTGGGAGGGAAAGTTGGGAGGGATATATTGGGAAATGTAAGTGATATATAAAAGTGTTTATATAATATATTAAATTTATTATATATTAAACAATATATTAAATACACTAATAAAATATATGTCTGTAAAATATGTAGATGTACATCAATAAAAATATGAATGAGCTTTTAAAAAGAGTTCTAGAAGAAGGTCCCCAATAGGTTGGTTCCCCTGTAAAGGATTTAAAAGATCTTGTACATAGTAAATAATCAATAAATGTTCATTGGTTAGTTACAGCCAGAGAATGTTAGAACTAGGAGGTCATTCAGACGTAGTCTAGACTGCCCCCCTCATTTTACTGATGGGGAAACTGAGGCGCAGAAGGGGAAGGCGCTTGTGTAAGTCTACACATCAAGAGTCAGTACTAGAGCCCAGACCCCGAGCCCAGGTCTCCTGAATCCCAGTCCCAAACTCTTTCCATGGCACCAAGTGATTGATTCTTCAGCTTAAATTGTCCCCTTCAGTTGTCTTCAGATTTAAGCAGGCAGCAGCTTCCTGTCACCACAGGCCCTCAGGTGATATGTAAATGCCGCAAGCACCTTTGCTGAGAATGGGAAGTTCAATCCAAAAAAATGGGATAACAAGAAAAGGGATGATCAGAAAAGCATAGAGCTCCAAGGAAGTGTAGAGGTCAGATTAATCCAAAACCCTGACTTTGCACTGGAGGCACAATTCAAACCCAGAGAGACTGAGTGACTTTCCCAAAGTTACCCAGGAAGCAGAAGGGCGGAGATTTGGATCAAGTTGGCCAACTCAGGACTCTTTCCACCAGCATTATGGCAACCTACAACTGATGGTCCTTACTTTCTCCCCTCTCTACCACTTGCATCTTTTTGATGGCTAGGTGGGTGTAGTGGGTAGAGCACATGGGGTTGGACTCAAGAAGACCCGAGTTCAAATTTAACCTCAGACATTTACTAGCTGTGTGATCCTGAGCAAGTCACTTAACCTCTTGTCTCAGAGGTTAAATGCCTTTGCCACAGTTTCCTCAACTGTAAAATGGGGATAATAGCACCTACCTCTCAGGTTTGTTGTAAGGATCAAATGAAATAATATTTGTAAAACACTTAGCACAGTTTCTGGTACATAGTAGGCACTTAATAAATGCTTCTTCCCTTTCCTTCCTTTCCAAAACAGTTTGAAGTTATCGAAACTAACCTTTTCTCTCTCTGTTTCCTTCTCTTCAAAATTCCTCTCCCCTAATCCTTCAACCTTATGGTATGATAGAAACATAGATTTACATCTGGAAGTGAACTCAGAGACCATCTAGTCTAATATCTCATTATACAGTTAGGAGACTTACCCAAGGCCATGCAAACCCACAGTGCTCATCCCTCACCTCTGCTCCCCCTCCCCTACACCCATGCTAGACTGTAAATGGACCAATTCTCCATTCTGAGGGAAGAGAGTCAGGGTGAGTTTGCTTTTGTGAACCTTGGGGGCCCCTAGGAACCGGGGACCTCGAAACACACTAACAGCCAGGTAGGAATAGTGAGCTTGGGCCAGGGTCTTGAGGGCCTTTAATGCCAGGATCAGGCCCTTATTTTATAAATTATGGGGAATAAACAAGACTAGTGATATGTATATGTAGTGGTTATATACAAGATATCCCCAAATTCTTGGTGTAGTTTTGATCTATTAAAATGTAAACTGCATGAAACTTTTGGGAAACCCTGTATAGTGCCATGAGGCACACAGAAGTTAACTCATTGATCCACGCAACGACTCTGGGAAGCAGGTACAATAATTATCCTCATTTTATATATTAGGAAGTAGAAGCTTCCCAGGGTCATAAAATGTCTGAGGCAGGATTTGAACTCGGGTCTTCCTGATTCTAGGCCTGGTACTTTATCCACCGTGCCACCAAAGACTCCCTGTAGCATTTTTATAGTGCTTTACAAATGTTACCTCGCTTGATCCTCACAACAACCCTTTGAGGTAGGTGCTGTTATTATCCCCATTTTATAGATAAGGAAATTGGGGCACTTGGCAGTTAAATGATTTGCCCAGGGTCACATAGCTAGTAAGTATCTGAAGCTGGATTTGAACTCAGGTCTTCTGAAGTTGGGCCCAGTGCTCTAACTTCTGTGCAACCCAGATGCCTTCAGAGCCCATTGAGTCCAACCCTCTCATTTTACAGATGAGGAAACTGAGGCCCACAGAGGTTAAGTCATTTGACCACGTTGACAGAGCTAGTAAGTGGCAGATCCAAGATAGGAACCTAGGTCCTCTGGGATGAGTCAAAGATGCCCAGAGTGCTGAGTCTGGGTGACTGGGAGGATGAAGAGGCCATGACCAAAAACGAAGAAATCAGAACAGATGGGATTAAAGATGAGTTCAATTTGGGGCATGTAAGAACAATAACCACAACAGTAATAATAACTAATATTAAGTAGTGTTTCAAGATTTACTAGGAGCTATATAATTATTATCTCATTTGATCTTCACAACAACCCCAGGATATAGGTGCTACTGTTATTATCCCCATTTTACAGATGAAGAAACTGAGGCCGACAGAGGCTAAGTGATTTGCCCAGGGTCACACAGCTAGGAAGTTTCTGAGGCAGGACTCAAATTCAGATCTTTGTGAATCCAGATCCAGTATTATATCCACTGAGCCACTTAGCTAGCTTGAGTTTAACCCAACAGAGTCCAATTGTAATGTTGGGAGACAGAGAAATAGGGGGAGAGATAGACAGACACAGAGACAGAGACAAAAAGAAAAAACAGAGATAGAGACAATGAGAGAAACAGAGACACAAAGAGACAGATAAAGAGACAGAGATAGACAGAGAAAGAGACAAATAAAGAGATAGAGACAGAGAGAAACAGAGAAAAACAGACAGAGCAGCGCCGTCCAAAAGACATTCTCTGGGCCTATGACTGCAGAGGATTCAGAGCTGAAAGGGACTTCCAAGATTAGTCTCTGCTGTAGGTTTTTCCAAATATTTCACAGACATCATCTCATTTGAGCCTTACCACCCTGTGAGGTGATCCCTACAACTATTATTATAAAACCCATTTAATAGATGAAGAGACCGAGGCCCAGAAAAAATTCATGGATTTCCCCAAGTTCATTGCCCGAGGAAAAGAGCAGGGCTTCAAACCTGGCTCCTCTGACTCCAATCTCACCCCTGGGCTGTCTCACATTGGTGCTGCAGAAAAGCCCCGGGGAGAAGAGTTTGTCCCTGTTTTTGTTGTTGCGTAGATTTACTCCCCTAATCATCTCCATGCATAGATTTCCCCAACCCACCCAAAGCTTGCAGGATGATGGAGGGAAGTGACTCAGAAGTATCCCGGGTAGCCAGAGGAAGCTAGCACAGTATGAGGAAAGATGCTGGGGGCAGGGAGTCAGAGAGGCTCGCTTCAGCCCAGCTCGGGTAATGTCATTTTCTAGCTATGTGACTGTCTTGGTTTCCTGAAAAATGGGGGGGGGTTGATTAGGTGATCTGGGGCCCCTGCCAGCTGTGATGAATTATGAGTCTGAATTTATGAGATAAAGGGCTTGGGGTGGGGCCACATCGCGAGGCCTAGATTCAAGGCCTAGCCTTGCCACTTACAGCCAGGGTGAGCCTAGTCATATCACTGAACTTCACTTCTCTTCTCTGCAAAATGGGCAGAAGACGACCTTGGCTCACAGGGCCATTAGAGGCTCGTGGAGGGTGGGAAATGTGCAAAGCATTTCACAAGTAATCAAAATTCACTGCAGATAATCTATCTTTAGAGTTGGTTTAAAGACATAACCCAGAAGGAAATTTCACTGCTGACAATCCAGGGAAACAGTCCTGTTGCTTCCTCCCATCCTCCTGCCCCCTGCTTTTACTATGGAGAGCCAAGCAGTACCCCGGCATCCTCCAGGGATCCTCTGATGGGAAACAAGTTTGACATTTCCTGTTGGAGAATGTGGGTCACGATACACCAGGCTCAGTCTGTACTCAGCTTGACAAAGAGGTTCTGCTACAGCCTCCTAGAGGCTGTGTTGTGGCCTCAGTTGTGGTTTCCCAGATGCCCAGCCCCACCCCAAGGTCGATGCACATGGTACAAGAGAGGCAATGAAGTAGGTGCCGTGGACTGGCCCAGGGGCCAGGAGGGCTGGGTCCTCACATAGCATCCTGAGCACTCTCTCCCTAACAGGCTTCATTTGTGAGTGGACATTTATGGACATGAATGAAAACCCAGGAAGGCGGAGCCCACAAGACCAGTACTGAGTGTCAGGATTAAACAGAAATTAGAACAAGGTTGATCTGACACATCTCACATAATGTCAGAGCTGAAAGAGGTCTTGGAGGTCTGTGGGGGAGACAGCCGTCTGATGGAAGGGAAGGACACTAGACCTAGAGTCATGGCACTTTGGGTCAAATGCCAGCTCGACTCTTTATGACTGGTGTGACAGTGGGCAAGTCACTTAATGTCTCTGGGACTCACAATGAGGACATTGACTCAGCTCAGTTCAGAAACTAGCTAGAAGGCACCAACTATTATTAAGCAATTAACTAATTACTGCTGCTGATGACAGAGAACACCAGACTTGGAATCAAGAAGATGTGGGTTCAAATCCTGCCTCAAACACCTACTAGTAACATAAGCCTGACCTTCCTCCGGATCAGTGTTGTAGGTTAGATTAGTAAATGGGGATCTGGACCTGGAGTCAGGAAGGCCTGGGTTTGCATCTCATCTCAGATATTTATTTGCTGTGTGACCTGGGATGAGTCATTTTACCTTTTCATGCCTCGGTTTCATTATCTATAAAATGTTGGGGTTTGACTCCATGACCACGAAGATCCCCTCTGGCTCTACGTTAAGTCTGTGACTATGAACTGTGTGATCTATATGGTCTTGTAGCACTACGTTTGTGCTCCTGGTCCAACTCCCTCATTTTGCAGAAGAGGAAACTGAGGCAGTGAAATAGGAGGATACTTTTTGAAAGGTCACACAGCAAATGAATGGCAGAACCAGAGCCACTGGCCCTCTAGACCCAAGCTCAGTGTTGTAGTTCCAGCTGTAGAAAAATTCCCATCACTTTGACACATTTCTCTTCCCAGCAGGAAGTTCATTTGACCTAAAGAGGCCACTTATCTTAAAGAGGTGATTTTGACTTGGGGCTGGTGACTGTGAGGTTGAGTTCCTCTAAAAGTGTCTGGTTTAAGTGATGTTTTAGGACATCAGGGTGAAGGATGGAATTCCCTGTTTTAGGGAAGAAACAATGGGACTCAATATTCACAAATACTGACTGGCTCTTGATTCTCTGGACAGGGGCCTAGGCCACCTAGAGCAGCACACACCCCACAAGTCCACACCAACTCCTTTTCCCAAAAGCCAACTAGCCTCCCTAACTCTGATTGTTCAGCCTGATTTTTCAGGCTCTCCTAGGCTCATGAGCTCTCATTGCACAGGGCATAGGGAGGCATCGGCCTCCAGGGGTCTGAACCCAAGGACTAGTTGGGCATTGTACCCAACAAGGATGGGGCATAGCTGGGGGGTGAAAGGTATATTGGATCAGGAGATGCCTTTGGGTAATAACTTGGCCTCTGTGTGTGTGTGTGTGTGTGTGTGTGTGTGTGTTGTGTGTGCGCACTGCTTGACCTCTCTCCCCAAAGGCCTCATCCGGCTGCAGGAACTTATCATGGCCCCATCGCGCTACAATATCCGCCTGAAGATCCGCCAGCTCCCCATCGATTCTGATGACTCCCGGCCCCTGCTCAAGGAGATGAAAAGAGGCAGAGAATTCCGCATCATATTTGACTGCAGTCACACCATGGCTGCCCAGATCCTCAAGCAGGTAAGTCCAGGTGGGCAGGTGTGCTCTCCTTCTCTTCCCTCCCTGTACCTCCTACCTCTGGCCCTGCTCCTCCACATCCTCTGCTCTCCTTCCCTCCTTCCTCCTCTACTTCTTTCTCCTATTTTTCCATTCCCCTTACCACTTCTCCTTCCTCTTCCTTGTCCTCCTCCTTTTTCTACTCCTCCTTCCTCCTCCTTCCCCATCTCTTATCCTTCCATTTGTCCGTTTCCATCTCTAACAGGCAGCTAGTAGCACAGTGGATGGAGCACTGGGCCTGCAGTCAGGAAGATCTGAGTTGAAATTTAACCTCATTTCAAATTAGATGCTAGTTGTGTGACCCTAGACAAGTCACTTCACTTCCATTTGCCTCAGTTTCCTCAACTGTAAAATGAGGCTCATAATAGCACCTACCTCACAGGGTTGCTATGAGGACCAAATGAGGTATTTGTAGAAAAAAGGCATTTAGTGTAGTGTCTGGTATATAGTAGGTGCTAAATAAATGCTTCTGCCTTTCCATCTCCTATCCTTCCATTTCTCCTTCTCTCTCCTAGCCTTCCACTTCTCCATCTCCTGCCCTTCTTTCTTCCTGTTCCATCTTCTCCTCAATTTCTCTTCCCTCTCCTTTCCCCTTCCTCTCCTCCCGCTCCATTTTCTTCCTCCTCCTCCTTATTATTCTCAGTCTCCTCTTCTTGTTATATCCCTCTCCTCTTCTTTGCTCCTCTACTCCCCCCCTCCCTCCTCTTTTCCCTCAGTCTCCTCCTCCTCCTCCTCCCCCCTCTTTTTCTCTTTCCTCCTCCTCCAGCCTTCATTGAGCTCCTATCAGAGCATGGCAGCATAGAGTGGCAGAGAGTTGTTTGTGCCCTCTGGGGCTGACACACAAGTGCAGACTCACTCTGAGACAGAGAGCATTGAACAAGTCCCAGATGAGATCAGGCAGAGGGAGCTTAGAATGGAGTCTGTCCCAGAAGGATGGATTCACAAGTATAAAACATGAGGGCTGGGCTTGGGAAAGGGCGGCAGGGGACAGATGGGAGAGATAGGAGAGGTTTTCTAGGGACCACATCCTTACCAACCTAGATCTGGCAGGGGATGGGGAGCCCTAGGAGGCCCCCCCTTCTATAAGCTCTATATAGCAAGTAGTCTGAGCTGTTGCAAGAGAACGCTTGAAGTACTTGGGCGGGGGTGGAGCGGGCTAAGACTATGTTCAGCCGGAGAGGCAAATAGAGTGAGAGGTCCCATTAAGCCTGGGCATGGCCTGATGAAAGGTGGCCCCTACTCAGGATAACAACTCTCCCATACAATGCCCCAGTGCATCCAGCAGCTGGGTGATGGCAGTCAGTTATCCCAATCCTGGCAGCAAAAATGGTACACCTGCAAGATCCCACTTCTGGATAGAGGAGACCTTGTGTGGATGGAGGGATAGAGGGCACCTTGGGGAGAATGCGGGGCCAGGAAAGGAAGGAGAGGCATGGGGTTCGCCGGGTGGCCTGCGTATACCGACCCCCAAAGTGACTCATTCCCTCCTGCCTGCGATTAAATCCCGCCGGCTGTCCTCGCTTATTATGTGCTTTATTATAGTTTATTGTACCATCTGCTTGACTCATCTCAGGCAAAGGCTGAGGGAGGGGCAGGGGGAATGAATGGCTTTCTGAGATTGGACGGGGTTTCTTTTCAGGACACAGTCACAGCATGGTGTACACGTGGAAACAGGCCAGCCACTGCCACCAGTCCAAGAAATAAAATAGCAAAATGGCCTCAAACCCCCCCTCAGCGGGTGCAGCCAAACAAACAGCAAACGCTCTGATTTGGACCAGTGCATATTTTAAAAGGCAATTATATTGTCCCAGAAAAACCTCCGTATTTATTAGGAAAACTTCCACCTTGGGCTGGGCAGGGTTCTGCAGGGCAGGTGAAAGGAGGAAGAGGAGAAGGAGGAACAGACCGTGCTCGAAAGGATTAGGAGAGCCCAGGCAGGAGGAAGGAGGGATTAGATCCCCAGGTTCCCACTTTCCTCGCATTGGGGGAGGGGCAGATACAAAGCCATTCTTCAAGAGAGGAGGAATCTAGGACACAAAACCCAATCCCAAGTGGTGATGGAGGGGCCACAACACAGCCTAGAACCACAGAAAAGACCCTTGACACAGCCTGCAGCAGGACGGAAGGAACCCAGACACACAGCCCAACCCCAGGAGAGAGGGAAGTTGTCTGGGACACATAAGCCAAGCCCAGACAGAAAGGAAGGGAACATGGACCTATGGCCTAAGCAGCCTAGCTCAGTTCAGAGGGACTCATTGCCTGGGTAACTGCTGTGTAATGAAGTTTTTGGCCAAAACATCTTGGGAGGAAGACTGTGATTTACGTCATTTCCTGACTAACCATCCCCAGTTGCTTCCATTGATTCTCGTATGCCAAGGTATCCGATCCTCACCCCATATTTGTCACCAGTCTCTGGACAAATTCCAGCTTGTCAGTGGAGGGAGTGTCCCCAAACATGGAATTACAGCTCCTTCAAGTCCCAAAGAAGATGTCATACTGTTGACTCATTGAGCTTTTGGTCAGTAACCTCCCACATCTGTTTTTCATCACCTGTCTTGTCTCTTCCTGCCCAGCCCCCTGAAGGGGTTCATTATAACTTAATAATAATTGGGGCAGCCTTGCTACTGAGGAAAAGAGGATTGAAGGGAAGAGGAATTTTCCAAATCCTTAATTTTTTTTAAATTATCAAACATTTTCCCCCTCCATAATCTTCCTCTTCCTGTAGAATAAAAAAGGAAAGGGAAATCCTTACAACACATAAGCATAGTGAAAGCAAAACAAATCTCCATTGGCCATGTTAAAAAAAATGTATGTCTCAATCTGCATATTTGTCCATCACTTCTCTGTCGGGTTGTCTTTTACAGCATTTTGGAATCATGGAATCATGGAATCATGGCTGATCACTGCATTGATCAGAATTATTAAGTCTTTCCAAGTCTTTCCATTTTACAATATTGATAGTATAAATTGTTATACAATGTCATATAATAACATTATACAACAATGTTATATGTATATACAACAATATTATATGTATATATAACATTATATCTACTCATTCTGCCTCAGTCCATATATGTTTTCCCAGGTTTCTCTGAAATTATCTTTTTATTTCTTATGGCACAGTAGTATTTTATTACATTCATATGCCATAATTTGTTTAGCCATTCCTTGTATACCCATTTAGTTTCCAGTTCTTTGCTATCATGAAAAAATGGTGCTATAAATATCTTTCTCCATAAAGGATCTTTTCCTTAAAAAAAAAATTCTCTTTAACATATGGGCATAGTCTCAGTACTACTAGGTCAAGAGATATATACATTTTAATAACTTTGGAGGCATAGTTCCAAATATCTTTCCAGAGGAAGAGGATTTGGAGCCTAGATTTCCCATTTGGACCATCTACATTAACTCTGTGTTCCAAGCTCATGAAATAGTAAAATGTCAGATATAGAATGGACCTTGGTCCCTATGGTCATAAGATCATAGATTTAGGGCTAGAAAAGAACTTAGAGGCTATCTAGTCCAACTTACTTATCTCTAAGATGAGAAACTTAGGTACAGAGAGAGTATGGAACTTGCCCAAGGTCACATGGATGGCAACGTTGGGATTAGCACACATTCTCCAGATTCCTATACCAGGGCTCTTTCTAGGTCCCCACTGTCTTTCTTTGCACGCATAGACTTGGGCCAACAAAAATTGACTAGAAAGAAGGTGGGATGGTAGATAGTCTCTGTATAGCAGAGAGGGAAAAAGATGAGATAAATGGACACCCTACCCAATTATCTCCCATTAGACTAGGCTGAACAATGATAGCTGAAGCTCTTTGGCCAAAGAGAGAAGATGGATCTCTCTATTTTGCTGAATCCTCCCCTTAACTGGATAATTGACTACCACAGGTCACATCTAGGGCAGAGAATTGAGTTGGAAATGAAATCTTTCTTCCATTAGGAGCACACTGAGGCCCTATGCATTTTCCCAAAGCTCCAAGGCCGTTTTCCATTGCAAGAGAAGCTAGCTCATCTCTATCCCAGACTATTTAGCCTGAATGATTGATAGAATCTCAGAACAAGAAAGGGCTTTAGAGGTCTCTAGTATCACTTTCCTCCCTGTGCAAAAATTCCCTCTAAACCTACCTTATGTCAGATCATTTAGGTTCTCATTCTTATTGTTTGTCCTTTATTCTTGAAGAGGACCAATAACATCAGGAGGGTGATGTCTTGATTTGCAAATGAATTGGATTTAAGTGAGGCATGGCTGTGCAAAGCCATCAGCCTCACTCTCTCCTCCAGAGTCACCATAGTCCAGTGGCAAGACCTAGGTCAGGAAGACTGGCAATTCCCTAGATGCACTGGGGAACTTGGTCTTTTAAGCTAAAGTCTTCATCAGATCTCGGTTTGTCTGAGGCAACACCCATTCAGTGATTAAAGGCTAGGTAAGAACTGAGGCAAAAGATGGCCTAGTTTGCCTTCACAAAAGGTTCAGTTTGGGAGGGGAAGACCCTTGGAGCTTCCGGCCAGAACAGAAACAATTACTATTTACACTCATGAATGCCTACAAGAATGAGGAACTCAGTACTTATGAAGCAGTATGTTTTTCTTAACACGGGGTGTTCCAAAGTCTTAATATAGTTTTAAGTGATATAACTGATGTATAACATATATGTCACATACATAATACAGCACTGCATTTGTTACATTCAAACAATGCACATACAAAGTACAGGTTATATAACACACATAGCAAATATGTTATATAACATGTTCGTGTATAATATATAAAATATAGCATTAACAATGCAAACCTGATCAATGACATATTGCCCTGTGTGATAAGTTCCATATCACAATGTGTCACATGTACCTTAAAGTCCTGTATAAATGTTTATTGTTATTGTAGTTCACTTAGAATTTAAGTTCCATTATGTCGTGAGCACTTTCTACATCTGAAGAAAGAACCATCT